GGTTTCGAATTCAGCTTTCATGCGCTGATGCGTGAAATTTTTAACTGTTTTCCAATGTTTGAACTACTTTTACATAGCTAAAGTGCAAAGCAGTGAAAATCATTAATAGGCAATCGTTCAGTGGGCTGAATTGCACAAAACGCATGATCGCACCGGCTAGTCTGATGCGCGTTGCTATTTATTTGCATAGTTTCCCGCAAGATTTTTTCGCTAGTGGCACTGTTTTTCCCGGCACGTGCTTCTAGTTAAAGAAATTGAGACTGGCCGCCATGACTGTCAGGGAACAAAACACCCCTTTAAAATTCCAGCTTTGTAGCTTTTCTGGTCCCCAAGTTAGCAGCTTCCCCGCCAAAAAAATTTAGCGGACCCCTGCGGAGGAACCATGTGGGTAAGAGCGCCCATTTTGGGTATCATGGCTCGTACGTGCACATACATTAAGTTCCCAAAGTTTCATCCTTGTAGCTTTTGTAGTTACCGAAATGAAAAATGGGTATAGACGCACACCCAGACAACCACTTGTCAGTATGCGTTTTCTGTATTGCATAGATGCAAAAAATGCATAAAAAGGTGTTATAAGAAATATGCTGAAATGTGTTTTCTTTTTTCAGTCGGCAGATGCGTTTTCGTTGCCAACCGTCGGTGATGCAAAAGCACCGTTAATCGAAAGTGGAAATAAGAATGGCGTGAAGAGTGTGACTAATCTTGAGGTCTTTTTTTTTTTAACTTGGTTATTTTTTTTAACCTGTACGCGGTGTTGCATTATTAGCAAAGGAACGGGTTGGTTTTGCATCCGTCCAAACAGTCGCTGTGAAAATTTCATATTAATTATATTGCACTCTCATAGTTATGCCAGAATTTTGATCCTGAGCTGCATGCCTCTATTTAGTGAAGTTTCAGCTTTCTAGCTTTTCTGGTCCCCGCTTTCTAGACTAAACTGCCTTCAAGTTGTCTTGCCCTTTGTGTGCGCGTGCATCAGCTTTGCAAGCTGGGGTATCACTTATCAGTGCGCGTGACATTTATCGCTTATGATCAAGATCAGTGCATCGCACTCATCGAGTTTTACTTTTTTGGCGTGATCATAATAGCGTTCTGCACTGTGCGGTGTGGTGCTTTGAAGATAATGGCTGTGCTGTGAAATTTCATCAGCCCGCAGCATCAGCGCACAAGAAGCAATATATAATTTTTCTGGAAATCTTCGGTTCCTCTAAAAAAATAGAATTGAGCTGCGGCCTTATGAATTGTTTTGTTTAGCCAGTAACTCGCGGGCGATTTGGCGAAGTCAGTCGAGGAATGCTCGGTAACATTCCTGTTGCTGTGAAAATTTTCCCGGCCGCAGATGCTAATAGTTGGATTGCTGAACAGGTCTGTGGTACTCAAGCATATCGTTACTGTTATTATTGTTTTTGTTGTTGTTGTCGTTGTTATTATTATGGTTGTTACGACTACTATTATTATAATTATGTAACGGATTTTTATTGGCTACATCTCCTAGCTTTTTCTGGATGTTGTTTGCTGCGCGACTGTTCCCATTGTTTTTCAAGCAAATCTCCCAACTTGATTAACTTTGTTTTTGATGTACTTGACTATCTGCAGGAAATTTACACGATTCCATCTCTTCGAAAACACGATAACATATTGCGATATTTCGGTGCCGAAGTTCATGACAACGATTTCTGGTTGATCACTGAATTTCATGATAACGGCTCATTGTATGATTTTATAAAGGTTTGGTTTCTTGTCTTTGTGTAAACTTAATTGATGGCGATATCTTCCAGATCTGCCTGTGGATTCTCCATGGATGGTAGTATTTGTTAATCTTTGTTGCATTGCAATATTTAGAAAAAAACTCTCCTGCGGTGTCTTTAATTTTCGCAATTGAGTTGCGATATCTCGCTGAGTGAATTACCTCAGTTAGTCGCGGTATTTCGCTAAATAACTCGGGGATTCTCCATCTCAGCAATGTCTAGCACTATGATTGAAATGGAAAAAATAACAGTTGCGGTTTTTGACGTATGCTTCCGTGGATGCAAAATGCCCAGTCAAAGCCCGCGGGAAGTAATCTCTTTTTTCCAGTATCGCACACTGACATTGCGAGAATCGCTGAAAGTTATTGCGACAATGCTCAGAGGCTTATCGTTCCTTCATGAAGAAAAAATGATTGACGGTTGTATGAAGCCGTGCATTGTTCATCGGTAAGCATTGAAAGAGGACATGCACCTTGCTTTTAAGTTGCCATAGTGCGGGGGTAGGGAGGCACGGGTGAGAGGGGGTAGTTCGAAGTGTAAAAGTTGTAACACTCAAATCAGCTCGTAACTGACTGTATGTTTGTAATATAAAAAATTTTGCTGTGGGGGAGAGGGAATGCCGATTTTAACATTAAAAAGCATCTTTTAGCAATTGGGAGTGAAATTAGGGAGAGAGGTGTTGAACTGCCTTCCGGCAAAGAGATTAAAATTTCAGTGAGGCGCAACAAAATTCGATTTATCTTTCATATTTGTTGTTTCTTGTTAAATTCGAACACCGAAATGATCTAGATTTTGCCTTAAATATGCCAGTAGGTTTATCTCGGAGCAAAAGAATTGCAGGATTTTATCACCGTTTTTATAATCTTTCGTTTTGTGCAGGAGTTAAGCAGTGCGGATGAGCCTGTGCCTGTCCCCTGGCTCTGATAACTGCGGACTTCGACTTAGTTGCGTATCACTACATGCTGTTTTTAGGCTAGCCCCAAGAGGTCTACTGTTTTCTCCGTCCTTGGCCTTTGCGGGTTTGAGCAGCGCTTTTATTCTAATCGAAGTGTTCGTTGTGTTTCAGGGATTTCAAGTCACGCAACGTGCTTCTCAAACCCGATTTAACATCTGTGATTGCCGATTTTGGTTTAGCTTTGAAATGTGAAAATGGACAAATGCCTTCTGAAAAGAGCCACGGACAGGTTTTCCTTTATTTCTCTGTTCAGTTTTATAGTTTTCATACGATTGTTTGCTGTTATGAGGGTCGGGAGAAACAGACTTTCACTGCGTATTGTAATATTTCACTTCGCGGTGGACACTGTCAGTTATGTTTTATTCCT